TTATGATAATCATATTATATGTATAGCTTATTCAATGTATGGCTTCATAGTTTATGTGATTGTTAATAACACCTGCACAGAGCATTTCCATACTGACAGTATGTCTTTATTCAAGTGTTTTGGTAGGTATTTCAAGCTTTTCTGCTCCAGCATTGGAATGCGGGGCATGTAACGTTTTTTTATTGTGAAAATCAACAGTTTGCATTATGCAATTAAAAATCCTTACCAATAAAGTAGGGAATAGCTATCCAACTGTTGTTTTAGTTGTATGTTACTTCATATTATAGTTATATCAATGTAAATCATTGTTTTCCCTTGTGTTTCTCATTCTTTCCCTGCCATGTCGTAAAATGTGGTGAACCCATCGCTGTATTTGCTCCAAAGCAAATATTGGCCTTTCTAGTTGAAATTATATGTCTGTGTTTGTTTCACTCAGGACATGGGAGAATTTGGGATAGCACCAAAAATGGTCACCACAACAAAGGAGTTTGTGTCTGAGGAAAAGGAGGACGTTCGTAGGAAGAGAGCGGCGGCAGCAGCTGACCAGCACAGTGTGTTACCAGCATTACTACAGGACCTCATCATACCTGCCAGGTACAGTACCTCACAGTGTGTTACCAGCATTACTACAGGACCTCATCATACCTGCCAGGTACAGTACCTCACAATGTTTTGGGTTGGGTGCACCAGTGCACCTGTTCTGAGCCCTGCCGCGGTTTGGATCTCCTGAATCTGACCTTTGACTGACAGGCGATTCTACCTGTGGTGAGGCTGGTACCTCAACTTAGTAATGCGGGATATACCATCTACTTTTCCTTATTTATGTAGATTACCATGTTTGATTGCTAACTATTGTTATCATGGGGTCGTGTGGCGTAGCAGCATGGTGCTCAACTCGGAATCAAGAGGTCCCGGGTTCAAGTCCTGACATGCCACCAATCTTGTGCCCTTGGGAAAGGCACTTTACACGACTTACCTCACTTTACTCAGGTGAAAATGAGTATTTCATTTCATTTTTTTGGAACCTTTTAGCCCCGAAGGGCTAATCTTCCAAGGCTCAAACAATTAAAATGACATAATTACAACATAGTAGAAACATAAAATTACATTACATACATACATGTACACCACATCAACAATAAATACACATACATGTAGATATTAACAATTTAAAAGTAGCGAGCAAGGGTCAAGGATCAGGTGACACTACTACTGTTTGAAACGGCTTTCTTAAAACTGATAAAATCGCACAGTGTCTTAACGTCAGATGGTAGATCGTTCCAGAGCACGACTGCACGGTACAGGAATGAGCGTTTTCTGCTATTGGACTTAGGTATTGGTAATCTAAAGTTATGTGCGGAAGATCTGGTATTATGACTGTGAGATGCATGAACAGGCAAAAGGGAGTTGTAAATATTTTGTGGTTCGTGACTCGTGAGGATCTTAAAGAACATGACCAAAGTGCTTTTCAAGAATCTCTCTCTCACAGTCGGCCAACCAAGATCTAGATGCATCTGCCTGGTAGGAGTATCAGGAGTACATTTCAGTAACAGTCTACATGCCCTATTCTGCACTACTTGCAGTTTGCGCATGTTGGAGTCTGACATGTTGGCTAAGACTGGTGCGCAGTACTGCACAACTGACAGAACCAGAACAACAACCTTGCAAACTGCAAAAGGCATCGCCCACATATGCCTTCTCAATAGGGCAATGTTTCTTGATTGTCTTGACGCAATGTGAGTAACATGTGAGTTCCATGTGAGAGACCTATCCATGTGTAGCCCCAACAAAACTGTCTCCCTCACTTCCTGTACCCTCTCAGTACCGATTGCAAGATCTAGTGAATTATCAGGCAAACTAGCGAGCCTACGTGGGGTTCCGAAAAGCATGCATTTAGTTTAAAGAATATTCAACACTAACTTATTCATGCAAACCCAGTCTGATAAACGTACAAGGTCAGATTACAAACCAGTATTGATGTCACTAACAGTCCTACCAGCTTTGTAAATAGATTTATGTCCTACCTGGGCCGCGATTACGTTCGATACGGGTGTTCCGGCCCGTGTGATAACTAGCGGTACAGCCCGGGGGTTCTTAACGCGTACGGCCCGGGCCTTCCAAATGTTCCATAGAACGATTCGAACGCGTTTCGCCCTAACCGCGTGCAACGCTTTCGAAAATTTGCATACAAAATTCGGACGTTGGAATTGATGTTGTTGCGTTTTTTGGGATTAGTGACACCAAATTTTTGCTCATTTCGCATTGAAAGGTGTGTTTTCGTGGGTGGGTATGACATAAATAAAATACAACACGGGGTATTCCGCATCACCCTCGGTCCCAGCCCTCCCGCGGATCGGATCTCCCTCCGGCCTTCGGCCGTCGGGCGATCCGACGCGCGGTCGGGCTGGAACCTCGGGCGATACGGAATACTCCGTGTTGTATTCTATATGTATCGTCAGCGTACATTTCAGGTGTGCTGTTTAACACCGACGAAGGTAGGTCATTCGTAAACAGTGTGAAGATGAGTGGGCCTAAACAGCTTCCCTGAGGGACACCACACTGAAGTAAGGAGGGTTCAGAGAAGTGACCGTTAATGTAAACAACTTGTGATCTGGCCTCGAGATAACTCCTCATCCAAGACATGGCATTGGATGAAAAGCCATATGATCTAACTAAGCTTAGCTAACAGAATATCGTGGTCGACTAGATCAAATGCGGCGCTGAAGTCAACAAACACTGCACCCACCAACTCGCCTCTGTCAAAAGCATTAAGCCAATCATCCGACATTCTAAGTAGAGCAGAGGTTGTGGAATGATTTGGGCGATAGGCGTGTTGGTGGGGTGTAATGATGTTGTTCACAGTAACATAGTGCCAGACTTGATTATGCACAATCTTTTCCAATACCTTGCTCAAGGTTGGAAGCAAGCTGATGGGTCTGCTATTGCTCCCTGTCAATGGAAGTCTGGCGTTCTTTGTATTGTATTGTCCCCTCTGTTGGTGGCGGCATTAATATAAGTTGAAAAAATTTGAGCGTGCCGTCACCAAACACATCTTGTGATTAGATAGTGGAATATAAAAAAAAAACTATTGTTAACTCTTGTTATCAGAGAGTCCATCGGAGTGAGGCTGCTGAGGAAGATGGGCTGGAGGGATGGGACTGGAATTGGGGCAAAGGTCAGGAGGAAGATCAAGATGAAGAGACAGGCTGAAGGTAAAACAGCTGGAAATCTACTGACTTTCACTTTCACATTATTATTTATATATTAGAAATACCCACCTGCAGTTTGTATTTTGCAGAGACATTTTCAATATTGCAGAAATAAGTAAAACTTAACTTGCAATTTTGCAGACTAAAAGAAAAGAGGCAGGCTAGGGGTTCAATGGTGTAAGCCTCTGTGCACAAGGCCACAGTTTTGCCCATCTGTGCAGTGCAAACAACATATCTTGCTTCTAAACCCAGGTAGCAGAGTTTAATTAGTAAATTAAATGACTACCAACCGATATAGATGTAATGTATCAGATTGAGAAGGTTGTAGTATGAAGTCTTCAGTATTTATGGCTTCACCACACTATGGGTGGTGAAACGTATTGGGTTCTCTGGTGTTTCTCCTTCTCCTGCCATTTCTTTAAATGGATTTAACTCTGCCATTTTTCAACCAAATGACCTGAAATTTTGCATGAAGGTAGAGTGGGCAAATACCCCCAGGTGTTTCCTTTTTCTTTTTTGGGTACAGGCTTTTAAAATGATTTTATTTGGATTTTTGGCCATTTTCTGACAAAATCTGTACACGAGTAACTTAACTATTCCAAACTTAAGAAGCTTAATGTTTGGAAAGAAAAGGGCCATCCCTTCTAAGCTGTCTTTGCTTACACTTTCAGTAGCTCCTTCCCAGAAGCTCTATGGCTGTGCCCCTCCACCTGGTCACAGGCACTCAGAGGTGAGAAGTTGTGTCATCTGTGAACTGATTGTTTGCTTTATTATGATCTCCATTGTTATAAAGTTTCCTGGAGTAGTTTTCAGTAGTATCTGGGCCATCACACAGTAGGGCATGCCCCCACACACAAGATATAGTGGGCTAATACTGCTCTTGATACTAGCCCTCCCCCCCCCCCC